CTTGTAGACATACTTACCAAAGTTCTTGGCAGCTCTCCGCTTTGAAACTTTGAGATCCAAGCTGCTGGTATTTTCCGCTCCGTCTCACTTGAAGGGGGGATGTTAAGGATATTGATCCATTCATAGGTCCAGGCCCAGCTAACACAAGGCCCAAACAATAGATGTGTTTAAACATCTTAAAGTTCATTTTTTGTATCTTGAATGTTTAACCATTGTAACTGATATGATCTGTATCTGTTATATGAATTGTAATTGTTATGACCTGTATTTGTAACCAAAATTATATGATAACAGAATCCCACTGATTGGGATGAACCTTTATACTTCCAAATTCATTTTTGTTCTGTCTGATAAGATGCTCATGAACATCATGACATGGGTAAAAGGGAACAAGGAGGTAACCCCCAAAAAAAGTAAAAAATAAAACGTCCCTATTTCTTGCTCCACCAACATGACACATCATCAAATAGTAATGCTTTGAAAATATGAAGACTCATTAAGTGAAAGATGCTGGCCACATAGTTACATATGCTGAAAGCAAAGATTATATAGCTTAATTGACTGCACTAAGATAACCGATTCTAGAAATAAATAAAATAGATAACGAGAAACAGGATGGCTAAGCTAATATAACTGCAGGGAATGATGAACACAGCCATCTGGTGACGTATTTCAGCCGTTTCATTGTCTTTAAGGTTGGGTAACAAATTATCAGATGGATTGGGTAGACAACCAAATAGAAACATTGATTCTGCCTGACAACGGAAGAGTAGTTTCATTCTCTCAAAGCATATAAGCCCCCTGATCAGAGAAGGCAAGCAGAAATGGCCATTCTCAATTAATAGAACAGTAAATGGATGGGATCAAATTGAGTATACCTAGATCCAAATTTAACTCATTAATATTCAAATTCAAATTAAATTCCATGGGATTTAGATTGGACTCACATTGGATTGACACTAAATACCATTAAATAATTATATCAGGATATAATATAGGGTAAAAAACTTGAACCTCCCTTGACATTTCCTGTACATACTGAAACCTCCCTTGTTAAATGTGTTAAATAGACAAATTTACCCTTGGTTAACCTTCAGATTTTTAGAATAAAGGTATAAACCAATAAGAGAAAAACAAAGTTCTGAACTTTAACAACGAGCTCTCTGCTTATGATTCATTGTCAAAGGAAATAAGCAATTAAAATACTAAGGGTAAATTACTTAAATCACCCCTAACATGTCAAACTCACAAATACTTAAACCTCCCCTGAATTTTGAGCTTTCCAGTAACCTCCCCTGATATCTGGGGCAAATTACACTTACTTACCCCTTCCGTTAATTCAAGTAGATAGAAAATGTTAAATGACAAAGGTAACCTTACATCTCTATTTAGACAAAAAAAGTGAACGCTCACCACCAGTGTCCCAAATGCAAGCTTATGCCTTCACTCCTTTCTTCATAATCCCTTGTAAAACTGGCAATTCTAATGCTGTACACTAATAAGCATTAGCATCAACAAGTGAGCCTGCAAACAAGAAATCTCTATTGTTTTTTGTGCATGGCCAAGCATCCTTTTTTTAGCCTTGATGACCTGCAATTCTGAAGTGTTTAAGAAAGAGTTTAGATGCACAAAAATAAATGGAAAAAGCAACAAAATATTGAAAAAAGGGAACAAAAATACAATTTCCAAATCCTTAGGATACCTTAACAAAAAACTTCTCTGAGCTGAGACTAGCTTGAGAATCTAGTGGCATATTCACAAAGTTGTAGCAGATACTGCATGAACCCAGTTTTCAAATTCCATCAGCAATGAGGCAGCAATATCATGCATCATTGTCTGCAAGCAGAACTCCAGAGTTTGGCAATCAGCAGGTGGAAACAATATGAAGTAATCGGCCTTTTGGCCACCATCTTCTAGCGGCATAAGAAAATAAACCAAAGTTACCAAACAAGTTAATTTGAACAATGAATGGGAGGGTGCAAATTGTGGTATTTTTAGCATATGATATCTCTGTTGCTCAAAATCCATGCTATATAGAGACCAAAAATCTTTAAATTGATAGCATTTAACAAATTGGAACCTACAGAACTTTAAGGTTGGCCGCATTAGAGTGAAAAATGGAAGTACTCAAACTCTATCTGTTACAAAAAGAGGGGAAAAGAAATTGAACAGATCTAAATGGATCCTCCATTCAAGAAGAAAAAAAGAAAAGAAAAGAAAATATGTAGCAGAGGCAGAAACAGAACTTCCAAAACTCTCTCACAGCAGTTCCTCTTGCTATCTTCTGTGATGGTAGGGTTTAATCCCCACCATTAAAGAACCCAGAGAAGCTCCAAAGTTCGTTTAAACCTACAGGGCCTCTCCACCCTTTAATTCCCTTTCTTGATGGCTTATCTATTTGCTTTTGATTTGAACCAGTTTCATAATGTGATCATGAAAGAGAAGGAAAATAAAAAAATCAAACTTATTCAACATTAAGATCCGTTGATCCCTTAATTGCTTCATTCCTTTTTGTCTGTTGTTGGGTTGGAGGTGTTCTCTCTTTGTTTCTCTTTGTTTGTAACTGAGGGTATACTTGTTTTTCTCTTTATGTTGACACTCTAATATATAAAACAAAGTGGGCCAGCCACCACTTTGGCTTTTGCCTTCATTGTTTCTCTTCTCCTCTCTTCTTCTACCGGATCATACTACATGATATCAGAACAGGAATAAGCAGAGATCTGAAGTTCATGTAATCCTCCTTTTCTTCTCTCCTGTTTTCTCTGAAAGTGTTGGACCTTACTGTATCTGGCCTAGGACTAGTTGGGTAAGACAGGTTTTTTGTTTATTCTTTTCCTTTTGGTTGCAAGTTGCAACACCAAAAGGCTTATTCTTTTGGGTATCTTTTCACTCCATGAATGGAGACATAAGGGTTTGGAAGAGGTTTATCTGTACTTGTTCATCTAGCAGATTTGTGTTCATTTGAGTTTGTAACTTCCCTTTATGCAGTGCTTTTGATCTCCTACGAGTGTATACTTGAGGGATTGTGAAGAGGTAGCGTTTAGATCAGTTGTGGTATTTCTGGTATGTGTTTTTCTCGGCCCACGTACTGTTCTTGCTGTGGTATCTTAGCTGCAAGGATTGTATGTAGGGTTTCACTTACCTTTGTTAATGTTAAAGTACACAAAACAGGGGTATTTTGGTCATTTGGGTTTATCTATTTGGGAATGAAAGGTCTGTTTTATTTAAGTTTATGTGTCCCATCACTTATGAGGGATAATATGGTCTTTCTTGTAACTATGTTATTGGAGATAAATACAAGTGGGTCGACTAAAGAGATGACTGATTTTCCTCTACTGGCCGAACCCTTCTCCTCTTCTTCTTCTTCTTCTTCTTCTTCTTCTCTACTGTAACCTAGGACTAAATAAGGTTTTCACATGGTATCAGAGTGCATGTAACAAGTTCAGATCTGCTCGTCTTGCTCTTTTATTCTGGTTTACCCAGTTATTTTATCGCCCACCTCTCTAGGGTTTTGCAGATTTCTCAAGAACCACTGGCAGATTAAGGGAAAGGTTGAAAAGGAGTGGTCGTTTTTCTCTGTAGGAGGCCTTCATGCCTCCGGTTTGTGGTGCAGTGGCTGTTTGTGATGATTGGTAGGAAGCTCTCTATTCGATGGTATGAAGAGAGCAGGTTCGGGTGAACAGTGTTCAGCTGAGTACAAGTTGGTTCTGTAGAGTGCAGTGTAAGTGTTTGATTTAATGACCGAGTGATTTCAGCTCTTGAATTTGGTGTGTGAGTGGTTCTGCAGTGTGCAGTACAGGTGTTTGATTTAATGACTGAGAGATTTCAGCTTTCGTATTTGATGTGTAATGTGTATTTGAAGAAGTTGTTGGTGCTGAAAGTGAGATAAGTTTTGTGGAAGTGTGTGAGGTTGTGCTGAATATTTGAAGGTGAATACTCTACATATAGCAGTGATTTCTTTGTGAGGTAAGGTGAATTAGTTAAGATGGCATCGATTGGAGATGGGAATGACAATAAAACAGGTGTTATGATTTCTCCAGATTACCTAAATGTTCAAATGACATCTATTAAGTTGAATGGTGATTCTCTAGGGTTTGGTGACTGGGAACAGGAAGATGCACAAATAATGACATGGCTATGGAATAGCATGGAACCAAAAATTAGCGTGAACTTTATGTTCCTAGACACAGCTAAAGAAATCTGGGATCATGCTAAGAAACTGTATTCCGGGCAAGACAATACAACTAGGGTGTATCAGTTGTATCAAGAGTACTTTAATCTGAAGCAAGACAATCAAAGCTTGGAGGAATACTATGCAAGTCTGAGGAATATCCGAAATGAGCTCAATGTGTATCATCCTCTGACAYMRDATGTTCARATTCARCAACAACARCRTGAGCAACTTGATGTGACAAGGTTTCTGGTGGGTTTGAAGGCTGAATATGAGTCTGTTCGAGCACAAATATTGGGGGGGTCTGCTCTTCCCTCACTTGAAGAAGTTTTTGCCCGTCTTAGGAGGACATCTATCTCTCAACAGATCTTGTTTTGTGGTGACTAGAGGGGCAGGCCATGGAAATAGAGGTGGTGGTGGTGGTCGTGGACTTCCAAGTAACCGTGGTGGTCCCATGTTTAACCGTGCTAGTGGCCGGAGTGGAGGTCGGAACTCAGGGGGAGGTCGTGCTTAAGGAAGAAGTAATGCCCCTAGGAAGTGTACATATTGTGGATTAGAGGGGCACACGGTTAATTTCTGCTATGATTTACATGGTCCACCCAACACTTGGGCTAACCATGTTGTGACTAAGGGTAGTGGTACAGCTACTAAAAGTCAACAAACTGAACCGATCCCCTCCACATCTATTGGTGTTTCTGGGAAGGAGATGGTGTGTGTACCCCGTGCAATATATGAGCAGTTCCTTCAGACATCTTCTCAGCAGAACACAGCTACCGTTGCCCATTCAGGTATGGCTTGCTTGGCTTCCAAGCCTTCACACTGGATCATTGACTCCAGAGCCTCGGACCATATGTCTAGGACTCCTAATGTATTTTCTTCTCTTTCTCGGTCCTCCACATCTCAAACAGTTACTCTTGCTAATGGTTCTACATCTCCCATCAGTGGTGTTGGTGATGTTGATCTCTCCTCGTCTTTATCATTTGTTTTATATGTCCCCAAGTTCCCCTTTAACTTTATGTCTGCTAGTAGATTAACCAAGACACTTAATTGTTCCATAACCTTTTATCCCTCTTCTTGTGTGTTTCAGGATCTCAAGACAGGGATGAAGATTGGTGGAGGGCATGAGGCAGGTGGATTGCATTACCTTGATGGTGGTGGCCCTCCAATAGCTTTTCAATCATCTCTTACTCCTCTTCAATGACACTGCATACTTGGTCATCCTTCTCTCAAGGCTTTGAAGTTGCTGGTTCCTTCCTTGAGTCATCTTTCATCTTTGGATTGTGAGTCATGTCAGCTTGGGAAACATCATAGAGTCTCTTTTAGTCCAAGAGTTGATAGTCGTGTCTTGAGTCCTTTTTCTTTAGTTCATTCTGATGTTTGGGGTCCGATCAAAGTGATGTCA